TGAAACACTACAGACTAAAACAGAAAACTGCATACAGTTGTGTCTGCGCAAGGGCTGTGCGCATTTTTTTTATTATTTAAAAAAACGAGAGTTCGTCCGTTCAGGAGGATCTGCTCAGCGCGATTTCCAAGTCCAAAATGGAGCAAAATTACGACCAAGTTGATGGCAGAGAGGATTAACTTTAAGAAAGCAAAGAACATAAGAATCAACAACGAAAAAATTTCGCAAAGAGCAGATGTCCTCGCGACCGGATGTGACTCTTCATCAAAATGTCTTTATTTTCCTTCATTTCCTCCTTAAAAAAGAAAGAAAAAAACAAGAGTATCAAGCAGCTGTACCTAAGTAGTGTAACGATACCTATTTCATTATTATTATTGCTCTATTATTGCTAATACATTATTATGAATTATTAATTATTATATTATTATATTATGAAATAAATAAAAAAAAGATGAAAAATGGAAGAAAAAGTACACCAGGGTGCCATAGAATCCTTTCGTTTCTTTGATTTATTGATTTGCTGTTTTTATTTGTTTTTCCATCCCAGACAGGTTTATTATTTGATAATTTAAAAAATGTGAGAACAATTGAGGCTGCTGGGTTGATAGCGCTGATCCTAGTGACCATCAGGCGAAATATTCCATGAAAATAATGATATTAACGTTTGGAAACAGTCGATCATCTCCTTCGACGAAAACTTATCGTAATGAAAGAGTTAATTAATTAATGAATATACATAACATTGCACAGATACATATGGATTAACAATTAAGATAAAAAAGTGTAAGTATACTTGCATACATCATTCAATAGATAATAAGTCACATAACGGACATACATATATTATTATATGAATATATGACGTATATATTATTACTAAACGATAAATTAAGGGAAAAATACAAAAAAAATGATACATATAAAATGATGAATATATATTTTTGAGGGGTGAGGCTGTAAAGCATTTGAGACAACGCTCTCGTGTTGAAGATTAAATGAATCATCCGAGAACACTTCATACAAATGAAAAATTAATAAAATAATGTCTGTGACTTTTTTCGAAATACGTATAAACAACCGAGTAACTAACAATTTATGAATGCAGGAGCAATTTAAATAACGATGGATGTCAAAGGATAGAGTAAAATTTTAGCTGAACATTCGTGGGACGAAGTTTGATGAATTTTTATTTGATAAGTATATGAAAACTTTTAGGAGAAACACTTTTTTGAATTCTTTGATGAATAGCGAATGGATATCTCAGTGAGATAACGACTAATGAGTAAATCTTCCGTGTTTCGTGTTAGTAGCGATCTAGTTTCAATGATAATTGAATGAGTTAAATTAATTAATGTGTATCAAATTGAATAAAAGGTGAAAGTGCTATGTACGAGTCGACAAAAACGCCACGATAAACGATAATTGCACTGATGTGAGAGCATCTACCCGTGGATTAACAATAAATATTGTACGTAGAATTGTAATCGATGCATTATGTAACTGTCTATGTGTTTAAAATCAACCAATGTCGGCTTGTCAGTCTGCGTCGAGAGCTCAAATGACAATGCTTCACGACGTTTGAATATTTACAACAAGTGAATTAAAAAAAAAATAACGCAATCATATGTGTCTTCGTCTGCGATCAAACTCAACTCGTTTGTTTTTGTAATACAACTATTTATGGTAGTACTCTAGGGGCGCGCAGGCGTTGACGTGATTCTCAAGGAAATTTTTGGGACAAAATAAGAAAAAAAGACAAAATAAGCTGAAAATAGTAGAACTGGGGACGAGAGAGTGACGAGAAAATTAGTGGCAACTCGAGGGATTAAATGCCATTCGTCATTCTCTCGTCTTATCTTTTAGTAATTTGTGATCAATTGTACCACTCGTGCCAGTACCGTGACACTGTATTCACATTCGAATATTATACAGCGTCGCGATTGTGCATTCGAGGCGATGATATCTATTCATTCGCCGTTCCGGTGTGGTTCATAGTTCAGAATTTAGATACAATGATAAATAAAAATCAAGAGAGATTGAGAGATTCTTAATTGAAAATATGTCCGTCGTTGTTGAAGTTTATTTAATTTCCAACAGATAACTTTACTTAATTTGGTATATCAGTTTTTGTCGTTTCGACGTGGTGATATCATATCAAAAATTAATTATTAAAATTTAATGAGAGAGGTTGCAACTTCATTGTGAAAATAATGAATAATAAATTTAATTATACTCAGAGTGCACACACGGACTTCATCGAAAGACTCGCCTATACTAATTATTATAGCTATTGTAATTTTAATTGAATAGTGCACATACGATTTTCGAGGGGTAATGCCAATCATGTGGGTTTTTGGAATGTCCTGGGGATATTGAAGACACGCGTTAATCGGTATCCGTCGTAACGGGCTTTAATTATTGTTAAAATAATTCCAAGTTGATGGGTGAAAATGCAAGGTTCATGCACAAGAAGCGCAGTTCCTCTGGAATTTCTGTTGTTCGACAATTGAAAATCTTCTGAAATTCTAAATTTTGATGAACACAAATCACCGATCGCAAAAAAAAACGGTCTCGACGAACAGAAATTCCGAACGAATGCTTTTCTCAACGTTAAAAGGGTCAAAACGTGCGAATTACCAAAACGACTACAGTTAAGGCTTAAGTTAACTAGTTAAATTAAAAACGAGTAGTTCTTGTTCTTGAAAGCTCGAATGAAGATCTACTATTTATGTAAGCATTATAATTGACAAATACGCATTGAAACACTGAAGGCAGCTGTGACACAATCATAAGCGAGTGCCAAGGGTCACTGAAACCCATTCGTGAGATTCCGCAAAACTCCCTAACAGTAAATTCATAACTGATTCGATTGAAATTGCAGCTGAACTGTATACCTTGGAATCAGTTAAAGTTCATTAATGAAGAAACCAAACAGTTGTACAAGGAGAAGGGCCAAAGGAACTAAGGAATCGGTAAATTCCAGTTGATATTTAATTTCTCAAATGATAACTTTTGTCCGAGAGTTTCAAACGTACGAGCGGACCAGCGAATAACTAGGGAGGAACAAAATTTACAGCTGAAAACGTAATACTAATAATTAATGATAAATAGGAATGAGTGATTGGGATTCAATAATTCAGTCGTAACGATTGAATGAATGAAATTAATAAATAATGTGATGATAGAAAGTGTTAAGCCAAATCGGATTTTGCCTTGGGCTTTGATAATTAATCCCGAGGGGGTCTATTTTCAAAAACAAAAATAGAAGGGCTGAGACGAAATATTCGGCTGGTTTGTCGAAGCCGTCGTGATTCGCAAGGGTACGTAGCGTTAAAAATAATTAATTAATAACAAGATGAATTGGCTTACCATGTGTGACTGATTCAGGTTTTTTGATTTATTTAGAAGAAAAATACTGCGCCTCAGAGCCCAATGAACTCGGGCAAACGAATGAAACGCGATTGAAAATGAAGATCGAGATGAGACTAATTGATGATATCGAGCACTCGGGCATATATCAGTCAGTGTCACGTTGATAATTGAAATAAATAGTTAATGAAAATAATTTGTGGAGGAGAAAAGGCGTGTTCCCTTTTCCAAAGGCGTTATAAAACTAGTGGACCAGGAGATGAAATGGGGAAACATCGTTGATGAAAAAAAAGCGCTTGATGATTTCTTTTGAATCAAGAATAAATTACTCCAGTTGCACATCCAATTTCTGATCGAGAAGTTAATGCTTCATTCGAGAATTTCAGAATCATTAAATAACAAAACTCATTTTATTTTATGAAAGAATAATAAATATTCTTGAATCAGGATTTTTCTTGGGTCAAATGAGCGATGAAAGATTAATGAATGAGTGATTCATTAATATTTCATCTTTGTTGATTCATTAATATTCTCATTTTTATTTCCCATTGAGAAAAGAGTAATCGATGATGTGCAGCTAGCGTTAACCAGATAGAATAAAGGAGGCGGCAGGTTATTAAAAATAGGATAAATAAAGAAGAATGCACCTCGAATAATCTGCTGTGAGAAATACCAATATCCAACAGGATATTGATGATGCATTGTTAATCCATATACGTAGAGAATGGTATCACCCGGAGGATAGTATAAATACTAAAACCAAAAAAAGTATTCGATGAAAAAAATAAATTGAGGTCAAAGAGAAATTCGAACTGAACAAAATAAGTGATTACTAATGAATAAATTAAAAAATTTAAAGAAATTCGACGATAAAATGAACTATTGATTGGTTTTGATGTAAAATGAACTACGAATAGACGAATAAAGGAATGAAAAAAACGATAATATTATAAGCAACAAGAAGTGCTTTTATGAAATACAATATTATTTATACCATCCTGATGATATATTATGAACACGATAAGTGGTAAGAAGAACTATAATTAAGAATAAGGATAAATAAGACGGAAAAATGGAAAAAAGAAAAAAAAATGTATTGAGTAATACGAGGTATATTTAAGATATTGACATAAAAATATATATTATATATTATTATATTACGACTTAACTACTATGATGATAATATTACATTAATGAGCATTATATTGTGACATTATATTGTAAAATAATTAAGCAATAAAGGTCGTCCTACCATGGAAACGTCAATCTTTTGATTTTTTTCCTCAATTGTAATATTTTTAAATTCGATTTGTTTAATGGAAAGAAAAGAAAACAAGTGGAAAAAAAAATTGAAAATTCATTTCGAGGAATTCCTACAGAAAAAAGTTGTATAGAAACATGAAATTCTACAGATTTTTCTATAAAACAGTATCTATTGGACATTTTCCGTAAAATAACGCTGCGAAATTCTTCAGTAGAATCGGTCAAAAACAAATGGAATTTCGGGTTGAAATCGCCCATAATGTTCTATCGAAATCGCTAGGTTTTTCCAGGAAATTTTTTCGTGCGTGATTTTACCGCTCGTTAGCTGCGCATGAGCACAACAGCAGTTGTACCTGGCCCACCGGAAATATGTCATCTGCATTGTCACCCAAGCACAACAAGTTTACTGTCCAGAGCCTCATAAACTCAGTTTCCTCATGCTCCACTATTTTTTCATTCCTCTAAAATGTTTTTAAGAACAATGTTCGTGAGATTGGGGCCAGTTAGTGGACAGAGTCGACTGTTGCTAAGCAGAACTAAAGGCTTTGAGCACATCCTGAAGGAGGTTCATTCAAATATGCGTTCGAACCGGCCAGTGATCAGAGCATTTTCGTCTGCGTTGAATATCTCTGACGATCTGGATGAAATCTTCAAATTCAAGGACACGAACATCAGTAATTGGATCGTGGAGGTTAGAGTCTTTGCGGGAATTGTTCGATGATTAATATATAAAGGATGTCTTATTTTGCAGAGCAAAGTGCGGACGCTCTGTTGCACTTATAAGAACTTGTCACTGGAGGATAAACAAAATTTTTTGTGGACACTTGCATTACAGTATTCGGTGGATCATGAACGAATATGTGGAATGGCTGAGAAATTATTGCAAATTGAGGTTTTTCATATCTTCAAGACGTACTTTCTTATCAATTTTATTCCAACACTCTAGCCATCAGCGGACGATTTATTGATCTGCATTATTATTCTATCACAAATTTTGCATAATATTGAGAATTTTTTTTTCAGATTAATAAAATTGTGAATACTGGAATTGTTCTGCTAATAATGCAGATCATAAATAATTTTTTATTCATTTCATCATTTACCTTGTCAATAAAAATAACTATCCACAAATGAGATTTGATAATCGAATGAGAATAAAATATTGTAGGGTGACAATCAACGACAATTACTTCTAAGAGAAAGAGTCCTCAAGAATGCGTTGACCCCACAATACCAGTGGTTGTTCATTCTAATGGGAAGACTAGAGGAAGGAGTGAAATTCCTGGTTGACCTCCGCACAGATGTTTTGGTACCGAACATCACTGAATCAAATATCTGATTCAATAAACGTGTTGTTATCGTAATTAATCGAATACAAGGTTTCAGAGGTTGCTATCGGAATCCAGTGACCCCGAGAAATCAGTAACAATGCAGCAATTGAATCTCACACTTCATGATTTGTTACTCTTGTGGTTTAGCGTTGGATTCTTGCATATAGAGAGAATAACCTGGCAGAGTTCTTGTGATATGCTTCAGAAAGTAATGAAAATTTTATAGAATCATAACATTTTAAATTACATATGCTACGATTCATAGATTCTACAATTCATAAAATTTCAGTCATAAATGACGAATGATTTGTTTTCGAGAAATAACTGACCATACCCACTGACCCTGGGAATACACTATTGAAGGTCTCATAAAATGAAAAATTCATCAACTGCAGAAGTATAATTGTAGAACAAATGCATTCGAATTTACAAATGGAGAGTAGTCCCTCCTATGATCAAACTATAATAAAAAACTTAACAATTCAAGATATCTGATTACGAAGCGATACATCCTATAAAAAACTGGGTGGATTTGAAGAAGCGAGTGGGACCATATCGAAGATGTTTTGTGTTCACGCACCCCTCTATGCCCCGAGAGCCCCTAGTGGTTCTCCACACAGCCTTATGTGATATAATTCCAGGTAATAATTCAATTTCTATAAAACAACATTCCTTTCCGAGCTACACAATTTCTCACTTCCTTTTAAGCTCGCCCCACTTCGCTCTATACCTCCACGTATATCTATTTTTCATGTGCCCTCCACTTCAGAGACTGTTAAAGGAATAGAGGAAGCGGAGAGACGAATAATACAAAAGGCAGCAATTCCTTCGACCCAAGAAAACACGTGTGAAATAAGAGCGGCTATATTCTACTCCATATCAGCCACTCAAAAAGGCTTGAAGGTGAGTTGAGTGAAAATACCATGAGAAAAACATTTGTATTCATACATGAATAAAACAGGGCATCGAGCTGGGAAATTACCTGATAAAAGAAGTGGCGAGAGAAGTTACGAGGGAATTTCCATTGATCGATAAACTTGCCACAATGTCACCTATTCCGAAATTCAGATTATGGTTCTTGGAGAATGTTAAACAAGGTAATAGCATTTTTGAAATCCTCACACCATCCAAATAGCGATAAAAATGACGACAACCAATAAAATGAAAAATGAATAGATATTCAATTGCTACATGAAAAATTTCATTGACTAAAATGATAAAATATAAAGATTGAATGGAAAAAAATGTTTTCCTACGTTAAAAAATCTGGAATGATTCAGTTGCTTACTCATTCTTGATTATTAATCGAAATTAAAAAATTAGCAGTAAAAAAATTGCATGCAGAAATGTAATAGTCTTTCACAATTTTCCGTTTCAGATCCTTCAAAAATATTTACAAAAGAAGAATCAGAAACTCTAAGAACTGTCTTGAAAACAGAAGATTTAGCATTGAGCCTGAAGAAACTATTCAACAATTCGTTATGGACGAATGACTGTGACTTAGCTAAATTATTAAAGACTCCATTAGTGAGATCCTGTGCCTGGTACTTGTACCGAGAGAAACGAAGAAATTATGCCCTCAATAACGTAGCGAATTTCCACCTCCGAAATGGAGCAATAATGTGGCGCATAAATTGGATGGCGGATCCCTCCCCGAGGGGTGCCGAGCACAGTTGTGGAATTATGGTGAATTACAGGTATTACCTCGACGATACCGAAGACAATAGTCGTAATTATATCGAGAATAACATAATCGAAGCATCAGAGAGTGTAATTACCCTAGCAAAGGCTGCTGAAGCCCTGAGAACTCAAATTAACCAATAATTAAATTGTGCGAAAATGGGATAACTGAATGAAATGATGTTTTTACTCCTCGAATTTTATGTTTTTATTAAAGATTATTAAATTTGTTCATTTATACAATAGCCGGATTCGGCCAGCTTCACATACAGCACAAGAATCTGCAGGCAAATCTGAAACAAGTTTAAACCCTCGTCTTGAACCGATTTACACAATTTTATTCTATCTGGGGGAATTGAGAAGTTTTCAGACGTGAGAAAAAAATGTGAAAAAAGTGACACTGGGAGATTATCATTTTTTTAAATTCATAATGTACCTGTAGTCAAGGCTGAGTTTGATGAAAAGTCGTGGGAAGATGTGGTCTGCTCTCCAGCTTGGTGTAATCCAGATGAAACTCTTTAGCTACCTTCCTCCAGTTTTGCGCATCAAAGTAGTAATAAGTACCACGCTCGTACGTCGAAGTCTTTTCCACCATGCCAAGTCCAGGTGCTTGCGTTATCCAAACCTTTTCCTCCATGTGATATCGCCATTCTCTGCTGTATCTGCATAAAAATAACGAGATGGATTGATCAATTCTAAGTGCAGGCCATGTGGGGAAAGAATAATAATAAATAAATAAGTAATAAATTGCAAGGTGCTAATGAGAAGAATTGATTTAGAAGATGAGAAGAGGTGCGGTTATTTGTGATAGGTTGCAAAGTGATAATAAATCGTGCTATGCTCTAGATAATTCAGGGGGATGTCATTGGACAGAGTGGACATGTAAATAGCATGAAGATGTAAAAGGCTGGTGTAGATAAAAAAAAACACTTTTGTAACATGACAGAAATAAATGAAATTGAAAATGGATCAAGCAATTCTGCGATTGTTTGGTATCGCTTCAATCAACTTACAATTCGGCTGCGGCAGCCAATTGTAACACATCCCCAACATTCGTATAAAACATATAAAACAAGAGATCGTCCTTGTACCGATTGAGTTTTACAGGTGCCAACTTCTCCCTGCGAAAAAAATTAATACGATGAGATTTGTGTGGGTCGGCGGTACAACAAAACTGGAAATAAACAGGTTCAGTAACATGATTTACCTTATGGACGCATTGATGAGGTACTCCGGTGGCACGTGAAAGTCAATGTCCTGCGGTCGACAGGGCGTCTCCGCCCATGGACCACCGAAGTTTGGGTAGAGATTTTCAGGTGAGTTTAGATTGAGTCCTAGTGCTGTTAAGTCTTGTCCAAGTGCCAGTGACACGAGGTTTGGGTCAGTTTCCGCAGCTCTGATGAACGTCAGTAGTCCAACCATACCGAATTGGTCTTTAACCATACTGGAGGGTATATTCGTCACCTTGCCTGATTAATTAATCATTCATTAATTAGTCATTTTGAGTCACTTTTGAATAAAAACAAACTCAAGAAATACCCAAATCTGCTTTACTGAATTTTTTTCAAGAGATGTCAAGAGACAATTGTTTTAATTTCTTCAGCAATGAAAAAAAAAATAAAACTAGGAATGAACGAATGATTAATTTGAATAATAGTTTACCATCTTGCGATGTCTGAATTCCTCTTTTCGACGCCTGCGATTTTTCCGAACCCGGCGCTCTGTTACTCTGTAAAACATCCTGTCCAATTTCGGGCCCTAAACCGACCGACATACTCTTATCCCCCGTAACACTACCACCTGGTGATGGACCATCCCTACTCTGGGTACCCGGTAACGCTGGAAAATCTTCCGAACTCATGGTAAATTCACTCGATTCAGACGTAGGCTGTTTTACCATACCAACTGCAATCAAAATACGAAAAAAATCCATAATTATCATAAGATCCTTAACAAGAGTTCAGGACAAAATGTGAATGAGGAAAAACAATCATTATGTCCTTGAATTAAGCTAACCATAAGCTTGCTTTCCTGGCATGGGGCTGGGCTGTGGCATAGAATCACCTTGTCCCCTATTCGTTAATGAAGGAAACTCTGAGAGGTCCAACAGTGGAGGAGTACTCGTATCTCCACCGCCGCCGCTACCGAACACAGAATGGAAATTGTTGATCGCACCTTGAGATCCGTAACTCCGACTTTGAGGTATTCCAAAACTTCCCATACTACCCATTGGATTAGAGTTCCTGCAAATTCATCAAAACAACCCCAATTAGTCACGGTGGACCCAGTTTACAGCCCTCCTCCCTCCCCACAAACAAAGTCGAATGAATATATTTATTAAGCTTACTGAGTCGAAGCGAGGAGATTCTTTAGGGTGAATTGAACACTTGATGTATGAGTTTAAAAACAAATGGTCAATTCGGTAAAATGATCTGTACTTACTTTGAAGGGAAAGGCATAATGTTCACTGATTGAGCAACAAAAAATTTCCTCTGGTGTTAAGTTTGAAATTCCAGGATATGTTAGGAAAACGGTGAGGTAAAATCGATTAGAAATGTTTGATTTCTTTGTTATTGAATTCGATGAGAGCTTCGTTGTTAGAATTTTTTGTCTGAGAGTTCCACTAAATTCAAAATTTTAAACAAAAATCAATGGAAAGCGTGAATTTCAGTTGAATTTTTAATGAATTTGGAAAAATTCATGAGTTCGTTGAATTCTCAGTGAAATCGAAAATTCGATGCCTATTCTGTCTAAATTGAATTCAATGTTACTCTCTCGAAAATTACCAGTCCAATGACTTGAAATCCCAATTCTCCTCTACCAGTGTTGTCCAACGATCCGATATTGTACGTTATTATCCAGCCCCATAAATTCAATCACTAGAATCGTCGAATGTTATTCGCTCAAACCCCGAACGATTCTCCCAATTACATCAAGTAAATCGATACCTACAATTCCAAATGCTCCATCTCCCCGTTCCCCTCAACACCATCACAATACAGAACGGACCATAAAAACAAAAACACCAAACACGTGTTTAGACTCGACTGATACAAACAGGCGGACAAAAAGCATGCATGAGCCACGATAAACAACAAATGAACGATCCCAAGATGTGCATTAACATAACAGCAGAATCGTAAAGAACTAAAAAATAAAGAACGCAATAAATAAAAAATCTAAAGTTGAAAGTATAAGCGTGCGGATAGGATAGTCCAGGGTGGTGAACTGACCCAAGAGCAGGCATGGTACGCCTGTCAGTAAAAGCCCTCTGTCCAAACAGTCCTCTGCTTCCCATAGGCGACAACTGCTGCTGATGTGCACTGGTTTGTGTACCAGCACCTGTTCCCGGATAAATGCTTGCTCCAACGATTGATGAATTCGCTGTACTCGAGGTACTTGCCGATGAACCAGAAAACATGCCCGATGTTGGTGTGACATGACCCACTAGGGTGGATGAGCTTAAGCCCCCACCACCAGCCCCACGTGATGATAGGCTTGCGGTAGCTATACTGCGTGGTGGCTGTTCAAAATTCAGATTTGCCATAGCCCTCCTGGCACAGCTACCTCAATTACCTGCTGGGAGGGGATAATTAAGACTCTTGAATCTTTATTTTTATCAAAACCCCTGTGATTTTCTTCTGTTGCACGTCATCCCTCAAATGTCTCTTGCTATTACTCCTCCGCGTTTATTAATTTTTTTATGATTTATCAGTCCCTCGTAAAATGACAATTCAAGTGAAAAATAAATCACACTTTGAGTAAAAATCTTCTCTACACTATGCCAACCGCTCCTTCAAACTCTAAAACTCGTATCAATGCATTTTTCAAAATAAATAAAATCGATGAATGAATATGCAGTAACCGCTGACAGAGATAAGTAACCAGGCAGACTTGCCAATGTTTTTATTCATTTATTCAATGAAAACTTTGAGACAACTGAAGGATCAGTGCCTCCGCTTCAAGCCATATTCAAGCATCACATTTAACCACAAAAATCGGATGATCCCGTAGTACCCCAATTTTCTGAATGATCTTCTGGGATTTTGTGACTGGTGAATGAGTAAAGGAGTTCGACAAATCCCATCCACTAGCCTTGACACCAAGCACTGGGCCCTAGGCAACCGTGGCCCCCAAAAATCACCCAAAACGATCAAATCTTTGTCCCACAAGACGTTTGAATGAATGAAAAAACTCTGATGAAGTCCTATTCTAATGATAATAAATGACTGAACAAAGTGAATGTGCGTTATTTCATCAATGAAAAAGTGACACGAAGAGTTTCACGTACGTCTGACAATCACAGGGTGAAGACAAAGGTTATAGGAGCATCAACTGAAGCATTCGTCCTCTCGGATATTTCCCAGGACTCGATGAAAAAAAATACTCTGGCCCCCCATAAAAACCCAAACGAGAAGGAGGGAAAAAAAAACCCACAGACAACATTACCTATGTTTTCCTCTCCCAGCTGCTTTTCACCCCTGCGCCGAGAATTCACAGGTACTCATCATAAACAACAGCTCAGATATCTCCGTAACGAAAAAATAGACTCAAAATAACACTGTCCCGATAGTCAGAATAAGGACAATTGTCCTTGTTATTTCTCCACTAATACAAACGTGCCTCGGATTAATATTGAGATGTGGAACAATTTAGGCGGGCAATGTCCCCCGCTTAACAAAGCCAAATGTCACGTCAGTGATGCACCAACACTTATTTCACTCTGACACGATGCATTTTCAACCAAATTATACCCACTAAATCCACCCCAACTAATACTGCTACGGTTTATTCAGCCTCAATCACAAAGTCAAACAACATCAGAGTCACAAAATTCTGCCATATTAGCGAATTTCACAAATGCACTCAAATCAGCAACCCGAAGCGCCCGGTGCTACAACTCGGTCTTTATGACGAGCAAAAAATTGTACCTTCGTCTTTTTTTCCCAGGGTAACCCTGTTATCAAACGCAATACAACTATTTACAAATTAATTCAACGATTAATCGCGTTAATCTCGTGATACGAATAGCCACAGACACGTTTGGCAGCAGTTGATATTGTTCAACATATATATAGTTGAACAGCTTTTTTTCAATCTCTTGGTTTTTTTTATTGAAAAAAAAACCGAGCCAGAAAATGCTGAGAGTCGCTTTAATTGCGCCGATCGACATGGCACTGTGGCGCTCGCGTTCGTCGATCCTGTCCTCATTACTCTCATTGTCTGGGTTTTGCCAACGGTTGACAATGTAGGACCCTATTTTTGTGAACAATAATGTCAATTTGTCAATTTTACGGACATATACTTGGCGGGTAAATAATCAATTTCGGGGCGAAATCAATTTCAATTATTTTGGACAATTTGGGATAGTTTAGGAATTAATAGTTTATTTATAATTATACTAACACTTTTTATGGCGTATAGTTCGGAGGTGGTATCATTAAATGTTGATCGGAACCGCTTGAACCGATGCAAAATCATTTGGAAAGGCCGAAAAACATCGATTTGAAGTTGGGGAATTAATATTCATTTTTCAATTAATTTTTTGATAATTTTTTCAGTGGAGAGAATGGCAACCGCCATGACTAGTTGTCTGTTTCCGTTGAATCGTTCGAGTACATTAATTTTCGCGGGAAAACATGTATTCCACTCAACAAGCGTATATGCGCTTGCGCGTTGTGTGTGATGCTGTGTCCTCGTGAAAGCATGACTATACACCATTCGTCGGTAAAACAAATATTTCGTTTCTTACCTGACGATTATAACGTGTTCTAACGGATTGATATCCTTTACCATAGAATTACAAATAAATATTCCAAATAAAATGATTCCTATGAGGATCATATGACATCACATATCCTCACGCATGCGCAAGTTTCCTCCAAAGTCAAAATTGGGTGAAAATAAATTTAAAAATGTATATTAGTTCCTGAACTACAAAATTGCATTCCTGAACTATCCCAAATTATTCCCAAATGATTGGAATTGGTTTCATCCGGAAATTGATTGGTTACCGACCAGCTATATGTCCATGTAAATTTTTTTAACATTCATCAGTGAAAAAAATCAAACACACATCTTAAAGAATTTAAATAATCGAAATGCAATTTTCGAATTATTTTTAATTATTGAATTGTTGTTTTCAGAGCTCAAGTGTTGATTTAAATCGTCAATTGACTCGACCCTGCGCACGCACAAGTCATGTTATATGTGGTCATATGATCATAGTTGGGCAGTGCTCGAAGACAGTCGTGCTTTATAGGCGTTGACTTATCCTCCGTTCGATTTTCTCCTCTCCGTTAACTAAAATAAATCCTTGTATTATTTTGGCAGAATCATTTGGCTAGTGGCCTTTAATTTTATCAAGTGAATATAAACGTCAATAAAAACAGTAATCAATCATGGCGCTCAGCGATGCAGATGTCAAAAAACAGGTGAGATTCGACGATTCTTGATGAATTTTTGGGAATGTCTTTCTCATATTCGTGTTCCCATTGTCATTATTGAATTTTCCAGCATCAGACTGTCTCTCATAAGTCGACGTCTATTTTCTGGGGGTCATTATATCACCGACGATGTTGTCATTGATGTAATTCACGAGACTATTTCCATTTTTATAGATTAAATAGATTAGACGGGGGAAGGGGGCTTTGATGGCTCTCAATGCCAATCAATGAGGGATGTTGGCTCGTGATTTATTTCCCCTGGGGTTTGTTTTCAGATCAAGCATATGATGGCCTTCATTGAGCAGGAGGCCAATGAGAAGGCTGAGGAGATTGATGCCAAAGCTGAGGAGGAGTTCAACATCGAAAAGGGACGTCTTGTTCAGCAGCAACGTCTCAAGATCATGGAGTACTACGAGAAGAAGGAAAAACAAGTTGAATTGCAGAAGAAAATGTAAGGGTTCAAGGGGCAGAATGAACACTAGACTTATTTCAAATGGAGTAATTATTATTCCTTGAAGCACACCGACCAGACTGAACTCAATTAATCTATATATTCCCGAATTATGAGTTCTTAAACAATGTCTGAAGTGTCCGTTTTGCCCCACCTTCCTCTAGACGTCTCGTTCATAAATAACTCGGAGATTCATCTCCAGATGCTCTAGTTATTCATTCATGAGTTCATCTATTTTTGTTTGCATTCAATTAATGACTTGGGAAATTTATTTTTGTTGCTGGGGGTCTTTCTTTCAGTCAATCCTCCAATATGCTGAATCAGGCGAGACTCAAGGTCCTCAAGGTGCGTGAGGATCACGTGCGAAACTGTCTGGATGAGGCCAGAAAACGACTTGCCGAAATTGCTCATGATCGCGCACGATACACTGAGGTGCTAAAGCTTCTCATTATTCAGGCTCTCTATCAACTGATGGAGCACAATGTTCTTCTTCGTGTTCGTCAAGTTGATGTGCCTCTTGTCGAGTCCATCCTGGGAGAGGTTCAGGATAACTATAAGGCGGTTTCTAAGAAGGAAGTCGTGCTCAAAATTGATAGTGATAATTTTCTGTCGCCTGACAGCTGTGGAGGAGTTGATTTACTTGCTGCCAGAGGTAATTCATCGGTATTTTATTCAATTGACGATTAACTTTGTGGTAATTATGTAATTGTGTGGGTGCTGGGGGGTTCAAAATTGACGAAGATGGCATTCTTCATTTTATTTTAATTTAAAAGCTTTTTTTAAGCCCGGAGATAAAAGAACTCTTAAGGGCAAAACAGAAGGCATACAGATATTCTCATTTCATCCTCAATTTCAAAGTGAAAAGTTGTCAGTGGTCAACAAAATCGCATTTATTTATTCTTCCATTTCATCATGTTTTGTATTTGTGAAATTCATTTTCTCTTATTAGTAATTATGTAATTATATTATTGACGAGTGATTCAAAATTAATGGAAATAGTTGTTTCGATTAATTCCAATGATTTCATTCCCCAGGTCGTATCAAGATCTCCAATACGCTGGAGTCAAGATTAGAGCTAATCGCTCAACAATTGATCTCTGAGATTCGTTGCGCCCTGTTCGGACGCAATCCCAACCGCAAATTCACCGACTAAGGGATTCACCTCGATCCACCTCCAAAAAAATAAAACATTCCCTTATTCGCAGAAAGTTTTAAAAAATTAAAAAATTCAATTGCTTCATCCAAATGCACACTTTAAAAAAATGGGATTCAATGATTGATCAATTTGGAATAAAGTTTGATTATGAGTTTGCCAGTTAGATTTGTGCGTTCAAAACTGCAAGGCCTACTTCAAATGTCGGTTACTGTTGTTTGTTGTTGATGTAACAGATTCATATAAAGTATGTTTCGGCCGTTTGCCAGTATTAATTTGTGTTATCGTGTAACTGTATTTTCAGATTAAATTTGTGAAGCTGCAGTATCTGAAATACTTCAATTTTCAAGAATTATAAATTTTTATTAATTACAAAATCTCTTCACGAAATGGAAGAAGGATGGATTTGTAATAAATTGAAGAATAATATTGGAAATTAATGTAATGGAGAAGCTGTTTACAATCCCAAGCCGGCAAAATATTTTAATTATGAACGCACACGAAACCTCCTGCAAGCGCAATAAAATTGTCTCCTGGATTGTTGAAACAGATTCATAATGGCGAATACAAAAAACTCATTTATATCCCCACAAACAAAATATCTTCACTTGTTCAAAACGATAAGAAATAAAATACAGAAGATATTTCTGATTATTTCAATTGATAATATATTTTGAAATCGTGTTGAGTAATTGTATTAATCCCAGGTAGTTATCAGTGTATTCTTGGGCATGCTATTCAGATATACTAGAGTTTTTTCTGTACATATGTATTTAAAATTCAATGTATCATAAACGACACGATAAAAAAATTACAAAACTAGTTGATTTTCCTTTATTACTAAAAATGGAAAACCCATAAATTAACAAAAATAGTTTAATAATTCGTCATTACTACGTAGATCTAACAATTAATGATAAACTCAAAGATAAAAATTATAACACTTGATAATGACACTAGATTTTTTAATTCATTTTTGCAAAATACAAGTAGAATTTTTTTTCGATAAAAAAATTGATTGAATCAAAAAGTTACAATTTTCATCAATTAAAAAATTTTGATGTCTGAGTGGATTTGAGTAATTGAATTTATCGACAGAAGGTACATAAAACCGAATGCCCGACGTGTAGTTGGTGCATGTGGCGCTGTCCACAATCTCCAGGACACTTCGAGGAAAACAGTTGTGTATCTAGTTCGGGAAGTGTCTGAAAAAGGAAAAGAAAAATAAATGTGTAAACCGAGTGAGAACGAAGACAGACTATCTTGGATATTTTCGGTAACAATACAATAATCGTACGGACGTCGTGTCCATTATTAAGCACTCCACCGATGAGAATAGCACGACGGGGGCACGGTGATACTGTTGAAATGACAAAAACCACGATTCCGTCATCGAACGGTCCAGAGGTGTTTTCACGATAATGTGGCATCAGTGTGAACGATTTTTAAACGTCCCGATCTAACCCGTTATATTCGTCTGCCTTCGAATTTGTCGTCATTCTCTCGTCAGTGGATATTAATAGGGGCGGGCTCCGAGTTAACCGAGTAAACTCGATTTTATTTAAAGTGATAAGGACTTGGGGCTCTGTTTATTCCATTGATGCAGGCCAATACGAGGATTTTTGTACGGAGAGCCTCGTCGGGGGCTACCGATACCACGAAACATCAGATTATCGTATTAAAAATAAGGTAAACATTAAAATAATTTTTGTGATGGAATAAATTCATTAGGGGAGAGGAAGGTAAAATGAGCAGTATCTAATCATTGATAGCTCAAGATTGGCATCAAAGTGAAATTCAACATTTTTTTTTCATTTTCAAGGTGTTTGTTTGATTTTTAAACAATTGTTCATCAAAGAGATATTGATGATTTAAAGGGGTCGATTATATATCATATTTTTTAGTAATTTTCGTTCCACTTTTTTCCTCAGTTTTTGACCAAAACTGCCAATCAAAGACTGAATCACCGATGCAAGGGTTAACCCACTTGGGAACGAACGTGTGTCATCAATGGGAAACTGCTGTTCGTGTTTCAAAGTGCCACCTCCATCGCCCACTACGGATCAGTCCGCTGTGCCGGAGATCAAAGAGGGTGAGATATTTATGAGCAATTCTATCAAATCCCTCGTATTTTTCGTATAAAAAATAAAACTTGAAGAGTCGGGGAAAATGGAAATGAATAGTTGAAAGTTTAAAAAAGAAATAATGCAAAAAGTTCAACCGACTGTTTCCAATAACATGAGTTATATTCCAGACACTATGGAAATGCGAAGACTATTTACATCCCATCAATGCACAATGGGTCCCTTGACGTCCATAGATTCACGTGCTAATGGAAACAAAAAGCCACCAGCAACGAATTTATCAGGATTAAACAATGTGGGATCTGACAATTGTGGTTCAGTGCCAGTTGTACAGAATAATTTACGTTTATCCAGGGCATTTTATGCTCGATTACCACCACTTGGACGTTCAACGACATGTAGCAATGCTAGCACTACTGCTGATTGTGGTAAACAGATGAGGGAACCGTCAGAGGCTAAATTGAATGGACTATTTGATCAATACAAAGTAATGAGGCCTTTCTATTTTATGGAAATAATGAAATGAGGGGATAAGTTCAGTCGTGTTATGCACTTTTGAGTCAATGTAATGAAAATCTCCAAAGAGTGTACCGGAAATTTCAACCAAAAATTTTCAAATCCATCCAAACCTCGAGGATTTCGCACTTTCATAAACTCAAGTGGCTTGTCTCCCCATCATTATCATTCTTTTTTATCTCTCCATTGTGCATGAGAATAATGACGTCTGACTCTTGTCATTATCAAATATTTCAAACATGACGGATTTTTCGTTAAAGTCAATATCGAGGTTTTATCTCTCACATATCTTCACGAAAAGATTCGTAATGATTGCTTGAATTCTCAGAACACTTCACCAATGTCTCGTGCAATTTGAACAATGACACTTTTTCTTCAACCATGTTAATAGGATCCTCACGAGGACATTATTCTGGAGGACGGTATTGAAAGGCTGTGCGATGACCTTCAATTATCACCCGATGACTTCAAAGTTCTCGTATTAGCATGGAAACTCGATGCCGAACAGATGTGTCAGTTTACACGTCAGGAATTTGTTAATGGACTTAAATTATTGAAAGTTGACAGTATACGTGGTGTACAGTTACGTTTGCCCGAAGTCGTCCAAGAATTGACGGTTAATGGTGATATGTTCAAGGATCTTTACAGATTTACATTCCGTTTTGGTCTCGATGTCACATCGGGACAGAGAATTTTACCAGTTGACATGGCTATTGTCCTGTGGAGGCTCGTATTTACGATACGTGAGCCACCATTATTGGCCAGATGGCTGGCATTTCTCGAGAATCATCATGTCAGGGGAATTCCAAGGGACACGTGGAATATGTTTTTAAATTTTGCTGAAGTCATTGGCAGTGATCTTGGGGCTTACGATGATGCCGAGGCATGGCCAAGTTTATTCGACGATTTTGTTGAGTACGAGAATGATCAGATGAATCAGAATATTACCAAGGATGATATTATCAAGGACTCAATAACGGCTAAGGACTAAGATATTTTTATTATTTTGGAAATTCATTGGAATTATTTTCATTTCTCGTGAATTTCCATTCGTCGATCTTTTCTCTGTCATTTCGATTATGATCTCGCGTGCTTCCTGTCTCGGTGCCCGTGTTCTTTTCGTTTATTATTGGGTGGAATCCATATCTGGATTTTCGGGGCGATTGTTCGTGGAATTTACCATGAATATTGATAGAAATTATAATAGATTTTTTTCAAGTTTAATAGTCAATGTATATTTTACATTGTTTACTTTTTTATTGGGTCTGAGTTATGTGCAGTTTCTGGAATTTTTCCAGTTGTGCATTTTTTAAAATGGATTGATGTGGAATTATTTACATTCGAACATCTCGTCTTTATATGTAATTATGAAAATTGTATGCAGGGAGAGGAGATGATACAGTGTAATTTTACATTTAGAAATGTGGCCCAAACTTGTGATATGTGTGCGTGTTTTATGCAGTAAAAAAGAAAAAAAATTATAAAAATTTATTAGATATTCACTTATTAATATTGGTATTCTGGTTTTTTCATTGGTGAAGCGTAAGTTTAAAGGATAGTTAATGTGCTGCATTAATTATTACGTAAGAATACCGAGTGAATTGAGTCTTTTCGCGGTATTTTGTACTATTCAAATGTTTTTAATAGACAATTTTCCATAATTATTTGTTAATTACACGTGTACTTGTGGATCTCATTTTGAACTTTTCAAAAAAATTATTTCACATTAATAATGAAGTATGAATTCAGCCACAAGCACGAGTCTTAGCTAATTGCAACAAGAAAGAAAGTGCAAATTTCGATTTTTTATCACTCCCATCGAGAAAACGTTGCGTCTATGTAAAATAAATATGACCAATTCGTAACTATAAATTAATGATAAATTAATACTGAAATTCTTCGATATTTACGAATGATGAAAAAATGAAACTGAGAGGAAAAAATAGTCTTCAACAAATGGAAGAGAACAACAATGTGATAAAGTGATAAATGTAAAAATGAAAACACATACAAAGAAACTAACAGACAGATGATATTTCTTAAAAGATTTTTTTTCTCGTGTGACTTAAGAATCAAGTTATAATCTATAAAACATCATTTTCCAATTAATCACTTCAACCATTGCGTCAATGTGCAGCTGAAGAGTTTAACAAAGTAAGAGGAATACTTTATCGGGAACGTGAATGATTTTCATTGACATCCAACATAGATGAGATGAATAAAAGTGAATGAGATAGAAAGAAAAAAAGACAATGAACTTATTTTATCATTTTTCATCTTCTACCAAAATGTTTGAGGCCTTGTACTATCGCAATTTGTGAATGGGAGATTAGAATATTCAGAAATTATGGGGTAGACTAGATGTGTGGAGATGTTTTCCATAACAAAGTGTGTAAATGCCGGCTAGGATTGAATAATCGAGAGTACATTTGACCATTTCTTCTCTTCATTTGGGGACAAAATTATAATGTACAGTGATACTGGGGCTTTATGCAAAATTCTCTTACATTATTTACGATTGTAGGTACTCGGGCTTTATCTGAATATGAAGGACTCCTTCATTTATCGCAATTTTCGAATAAAAAGCCTTAATTTTTGGGTTACGCCATTAAAATTGTAGATGACAATTGTGAATTTTCTTGTCTCAATTAATGGGAGGGATATCTTATGCAAAGAGAGACACAAAGATTGTAGGAAAAGTATGGAATTAATTTTCTCTGTTGGACTGTGCCAATTAGTAACAATCGTGCGAGCCTACGATGCGATGTTTACTTACACGTAAATGTATTTATATAATTGCCTGTTTCATTTTTTAAACATCAAGAATTGTCGAATTTTGTACGATCTTAAATAAAAATTTGAAAAATATTTAATTGCCAGATAGATAGATCATATACCTTATTTATGTCCCTATTAAAAACATAATCAATATTTATTGTATGCATTGATAATTTTATAACATCGTTCTGACGCGCGTCAGCATTTGATTTATCAAAAGTGATCGGTTCACGTTAGAAAAAAATTGAATTGAAATTTTATACTCTGATGGTAACTGCCGTCCAAGTTACCGCAGTACTGTTCACATGCGTATACGGTGACATTGAAAACAAATCCTGCTACTGTTTTATATTGGGAGTACATCTTCAACTTTCAAGATAAGCACCGAAACCCGACACGTAGTTTGAGACGATTTATCGAAGGCGCTAACACAATTATTAACTCATCTCTCTGTCATGGAATTCTATGATGATAGTTATCCAAAGGTAATCCACCAATTAAGAACGGCCATTCTACATTTGACATATTGGAATCACTTGTTTGATTGTTAACAATATATTACCATTAGGAGCACCCGAGGAATTTGATCCCAGAATTATGTCGACAGTTTTATCATCTGCAGTGGGTTACTGGGACTGGCGGAGGAATATCCATAAAGCATGGGTATGGACTTTATTCTTCTTCTTTTTACCAATGTTATTGTAGAGCTATTCTTATTCATCTCTATTATTCATGTTCAGAGATGAAATTTATATCGCCCCATCAGGAGTCCAGAAGGAACGAATTAAACCTGAAGATATGTTCGTTCAGGATATAAATGGAGGAGACATAGCTGCCCCACCGCCCGAAAAAAAATTCAAAAAATCCCAGTGCACTCCACTCTTCATGTGCGCTTATACAGCACGAAATGCTGGGGCTGTTATTCACACTCACTCGAAATTCGCTGTTATGGCGACACTTCTGTGGCCGGGGAAGGAATTCCGAGTTACTCATTTAGAGATGATCAAAGGAAAGTTCAGTTTTGTTTCGATAAATTGAAATATTAAAGAACAAGTAACATAACCCGCTGATATCTTCATTCGAATTACAATTTGGAATGAATATTCAAATATTTTCGTTGATTATTTTCTTTGAAGTACGTGAGTTCGGAGTAAAATGTTGGTAAATTTTTAATCAACAGAAGTTCTCCTAATATTTCCTTTTAAAAAAGATGAAAATAGTCACAATATTCTCTTATAAATGTTTTAAGACTTTTCTGTTGTAATCATTCTATTTTCCCATTTTCTAATTGTTTCCTAATAGTTCTTTTTATCCACAGGAATCAGAAATCAGAAATTGGGAAGAGCCTACAGATACGACGAGGAACTAGTAGTTCCAATTATCGAAAATACCCCCTTTGAAGAGGACCTCAAAGACAGAATGGCAGAGGTCATCAAGCAATATCCGGAGACGTATGCAATTTTGGTAAGAAGACATGGAGTGTACGTGTGGGGTGATACGTGGCAGCAGGCTAAAACCATGTAAGTTCGAACGATAATCGACAGCCCTCTGAAAACGGTAACACCTCTATCCAACACAGTATTGTGATGTTAATGGCCAATTCATCACTAAAAATTGTCGTCATTATCATCATGTTTTTTCTTCACTTACATTGTACAGATGAATTGTCCATAGAATGAAATGAGCTGTGTGCAGTTGTCCTGCAAAATAACTAACTCAACCTCTCAATTCAGGAATGAATGCTACGACTACCTATTCGACATCGCAGTACAGATGAAGAAAGCTGGCATTGATCCACGTCTGAAGCCTGAAGAGTACGAGCTTAAATACCAAAAAGAGAATAATCAATAACGATAATTAACAATATACAGAGCTGTAAGAGAGATTTTTATATTTTGTATTGTACAAAAATGTCAGGTCAGAGAATTTTCTCATTTATAAATTAAGTATCTATATCGTAAGGTTCGAATTTCTTCCTAATCGCCTTTGCTAGATCAGTCTCCTCTTCTTTACTGATTTGACAGTCCTTCCAGTCGACTTTGTGCATCAAGTTCAGGATTTTATGGCTAGCTAGAACCTCTCGACCGAATTGCAGTGGGAAGTCCTTGGATATCCTCGTGTAGAGCATCACTCCGTTTGGAAGTTGAACGTAGAAGTACGTTGCACCTGGCGGAGCTATCTGACGAAGTTGAGAATGATCTGGGATTTGATTGAGTTCTACACCATTATCATCTGCTACGTCCTGAAATGCAATTGAAAAAATAATTAATGATGAATGAAATTGAATTCGATTTCAGGAAAAAATGAAATTTGTGATAAAATTGGAACTATAATGTGATAACAATTCCCAATACCCTCAAATCGGAGATTATGTTAATAATGGCTGATAAAACCTAATTTGAATAGAGAATCACCTGAAAAACTCCATACAATTCAGAAGCAACCTCTTCAGCAACAGGTACAGCCTGCAGTTGACAGTGTGAGCTCTTGTAATTCCTCTCGAAAAAAACAGGCAGCCGTCCAGTGCTGGAGTAATACCTAGCAATAGCTTTTTTATACAACTCCATCTCCTTCTCAACACTCTCAGGTACAATCGAGAAACTCTGGTGATGACTGATTGGTAAAATCAACAGGTGATCATCCACAAGACCTCCTTTCGCCAGAGCCACATAAACCTCAGTTCCAACAGATATCACGAGATGTTTTTCCACTGAAGGACTGGATAAGCAGAACCAGCACTTAGCCTGATCGAAGTCAAGTTTTTTCGCTTTCTTTTGGAACTTATCCGACTGATTTGATCGCCTCTTGCCTTCGTTTGCAGGCTGCATGTCGTAGAAGAATTGTTTTCCAGTGTCTTTGGGGTCGGTGCTGGTTGGGTCAGAGTTTAAATTCGAAGCTGGGTAGGGACTTGGGGTCTCGTCAGTGGTTTTCGTCGCGAGATCCATCAGTCGTGTTCGATCCACTGGAGTTAGGTTGAGGGCATAAAGCCACTTGAGTTTTTGAGTGTTTCCGACCCTCGCCAGGGCTATGAATCTTGATGCTATTTCTATACTGTCCCCACCTTTACTTTCGTTCCTAGAAGAAAAGATTAATTGGAATTGATACCCCATTTTATCGCTTCACTAATCATCTGTGAAGATGAAAATTTGAAAAATTACCTGTAAGGTGGACGTTCATAATGGAGTCCCTCCAGCCCACAGACGTGATACCTAGGTTTCACCTGAGCTGCAAGCCACGAAACCAGTCTCGACCCTTTAAAATTAAATTTCGGATCCTTAGGATCGCATTTGGTGACGTCCTGAGGCCACTGGGACGTCAGCAGTATATCAATTCCCCTGAAACTGGGCTGGCCCTTCAGGCAGGAATTCCTCACAGAGACCACATCATTCTCATTAAAATTGATGGACTCATTCAGCGACGTGTCCTGACCCTTCTCAACACCACTGATGTATGCAATCTTGAGCCCAGAGCCGGCGCTGTAGAGCCCGCGTTTTCCAAGATACGTGAGATTCTGACAGATCTCTGCTCCGTCAAGAACCGGATAATTCTCAACATCATCCACTCTGTTGGGGCCGATGATAAGTGTCGGCACTGGGATACTCTTTATCCCGTTTTTGTAGGGCTCCAACTCAATGTTGTTTACTCCGAAAAAATTTCCAACGCACAGAAGAAATTCGAAGGGACCATTTTTCTTGTTTATCTGTTCAACTTTGGCGAAAAGATTGTTAAATCTGCCTTCAACGTCACCAGCGAGCAATATCTTCTGTTTCTGTGACATTTTCACTTTGTTCTGGAGCACTTTGAATGTTGACAAGTGTAAACACTACATTCATTCGAGGTTAGAATACTGTTCAAACGTTCAGTGGTCGTCTTGACGGAGATATAGCTCACAGGTAAATAATCAATCTTCGGAGGAAACCAATTTCCATCATTTGGGAACAATTTGGGATAGTTTAGGGATGCAATTTTATAGTTTAGGAACTAATAGTTTATTTATAATTGAATAGTTTTGATGTGACGTATATCACGGGTGGTAAAGTCAAAAACATGTGTTCCAATAAGGGGGGGGGTCGTTTGTACAATCCAGATAGACACATTCCGGTTTGGACACAGGGAAAGTGGCGACATGGTACGGAAGGAGGCACGAGAAATGTCGAAATAACATTTTTTTTTCACCTGGGGCCAAAGTGTCATATCTTGGATTTTTTCAGGGGGAAAGTCGACTTTTGGCAAAATCGAATTTTTCCATCGAGTGAAAGTTGATTCTGATGTTTCCCGCGACGGGCTCTCCAGAACTCTCAAAAGTATTTGGAAAAAGTCAAAAATAGAAAATTTTTTTTTTTCACCTGGGGCCAAAGTGTCGGATCTTGGATTTTTCCAGGGGGAAAGTCGACTTTCGGCAAAATCGAATTTTTTAGCCGGGTGAACGTTGATTCCAACTATTTGAGCGACGGGCTATTCAGAACTCTCAAAAGTATTTGGAAAAAGTCAAAAATAGAAAATTTTTTTTTTCACCTAGGGCCAAAGTGTCGGATCTTGGATTTTTCCAGGGGGGAAGTCGACTTTCGGCAAAATCGAATTTTTTAGCCGGGTGAACGTTGATTCCAACTATTTGAGCGACGGGCTATTCAGAACTCTCAAAAGTATTTGGAAAAAGTCAAAAATAGAAAATTTTTTTTTTCACCTAGGGCCAAAGTGTCGGATCTTGGATTTTTCCAGGGGGGAAGTCGACTTTCGGCAAAATCGAATTTTTTAGCCGGGTGAACGTTGATTCCAACTATTTGAGCGACGGGCTATTCAGAACTCTCAAAAGTATTTGGAAAAAGTCAAAAATAGAAAATTTTTTTTTTCACCTAGGGCCAAAGTGTCGGATCTTGGATTTTTCCAGGGGGGAAGTCGACTTTCGGCAAAATCGAATTTTTTAGCCGGGTGAACGTTGATTCCAACTATTTGAGCGACGGGCTATTCAGAACTCTCAAAAGTATTTGGAAAAAGTCAAAAATAGAAAATTTTTTTTTTCACCTAGGGCCAAAGTGTCGGATCTTGGATTTTTCCAGGGGGGAAGTCGACTTTCGGCAAAATCGAATTTTTTAGCCGGGTGAACGTTGATTCCAACTATTTGAGCGACGGGCTATTCAGAACTCTCAAAAGTATTTGGAAAAAGTCAAAAATAGAAAATTTTTTTTTTCACCTAGGGCCAAAGTGTCGGATCTTGGATTTTTCCAGGGGGGAAGTCGACTTTCGGCAAAATCGAATTTTTTAGCCGGGTGAACGTTGATTCCAACTATTTGAGCGACGGGCTATTCAGAACTCTCAAAAGTATTTGGAAAAAGTCAAAAATAGAAAATTTTTTTTTTCACCTAGGGCCAAAGTGTCGGATCTTGGATTTTTCCAGGGGGGAAGTCGACTTTCGGCAAAATCGAATTTTTTAGCCGGGTGAACGTTGATTCCAACTATTTGAGCGACGGGCTATTCAGAACTCTCAAAAGTATTTGGAAAAAGTCAAAAATAGAAAATTTTTTTTTTCACCTAGGGCCAAAGTGTCGGATCTTGGATTTTTCCAGGGGGGAAGTCGACTTTCGGCAAAATCGAATTTTTTAGCCGGGTGAACGTTGATTCCAACTATTTGAGCGACGGGCTATTCAGAACTCTCAAAAGTATATGGAAAAAGTGAAAACTGAAAACGTTTTTTTTTCAGATTTTCAAAGGGTCAGATTTTCCGTTTTTCCAGGGGGAAAGTCGACTTTCGGCAAAATCGAATTTTTCCACCGAGTGAAAGTTGATTCCGATGTTTCACGCGACGGGCTATCCAGAACTCTAGTTCGATTCATTTTACATTTCCGCTTGAAATGAGAATAATCCCGCCATCTCTCATAGAAAATTCGATCGGTAAGATTTTTCAGAGGACATCTGCAATATCGAGCCCTGTTTAACCACCTCATCAGAATCTGCCCATCCGCATCTTATCGACATCTTTCTGAATTATCGACTCCAGCAGGAAGATTGTAGTTGTCATCCCAAGGGGCAACACTGCAAAATGCATGCTTAAGGTAACTTTTCGAGACACATAACTTTTTGGGCAGATATTAAACAGCCGTATTTGGGGCCAGTTTTTGGTTTCGCTAATCACGGTTAGACCTCGGTTAAAGTTAAGTCAACCTCGGATTAATATCTCCGATTGGTTGGGGTCAGTACACGCAGAATAATGGCTTATTTGAATTAAATAAACTTTATTTGAATCAAATAAATCGTTTATTTCATTGTAATAGAGCATTTATTTAATTCAAATAAAGTTTCTTTAATTCAAATAAACCATTTTCCTGGGTGTGTCGAGATTGAATCCTTTATCCAGCGGGAGCTTTCAAAAACTTTGTAGCGGTCATTTGGTAGTCTGTGGACAGGTGGATTCATGAAGAAACCCACCCCGACCCCAACAACTCCTTTATTAACGCGCAATTCTTTAAATATCGATTGAGACCCCACGAACTACGTGAGAAGGAGGTGAAAAAGGTGGTGGAAAGTTGTGGTCGTCTGAGATGAAGGAACTTCGTCGAGGCTGCGGGAAAGTTTCATTATACATGATGGGCGCGGTCCGTGCATTTTTTTTTCTGCATAGTAAATACGTTATTCAAGAACCAAAGGCATTCTCCTCACCTGAACTATTCAAAACTGTTTTTCACCAGCCGAGAGTCATTCCCAACAACTTTTCACTATTCATCAGCATAATTGAACCCATTGAACCTGCAAAAATGTAAATTACCTTCCTGATTAATTAATTACGATAATGAATAGATTTTCGAATTTCTTCTCAATTTATTTCAGAGTTGAATTCGACGAGGGGAAATTCCGCCATGTTTATTCCCGCTCAGTCGAATGTCGCTGGCTTTTATTTTGTCTTTGGCACTGAGAACCACCCCCTTTGGACTTTTTTCGCGACCCTCACCCCCTCCAACCCCCCCGTTCACAAACCCAACGACCAGCCCCTCTTTCAAAGCAAAGTAGACCCTTATGGATTTTTTTTTCCACCCAAAGCACCCCTTGCGCATCCCAGCAAGAGAAATAGGAATACCGAGTGCGAGAGAGAGAGAGAGAGAAGCCCATGGTGCGGGTTTTTATACCGCCCAGGCACCCCTCGCAGTCAGCCTAAAAAATTCAACCCCCAATTTGTAAGCCACGGACGTTTAATTGCAATATCCAGGGGCCTCAGCAGTTTTTTCTCTTAAAAACCTCCATCCTACACACCTCTGGACAAGACTTTACCATTTTTTAATTCCCCCCCTGGAGTTTCTCCTCTCTTTTTTATTTCACTCTCCGAAGCTATACCGCAATTTGCTCTTAATTATTCAACTCGCCTGGGTAAGCAATTTAAGATGTTGATACTGAATTAATGGAATACATTTGCCTCACCTACTTTTTTCACCCCCAGAATTATCGGATGAATTATTCATCAACCACTCCACCTGCTCTATAATTAAATAATTCCCGTAAATACATAATTTTACCCTGATATTAATTGCAGGTTAATCGAGGGATCTAAAACTCACAAATCAAATGAACCAAGTCAAGTACGCGATTAATTAATTACCACGCTGGTGTTATTCTAGTTTTTTTTTCGTCACATTTTTTTTCATCGCCCCCAGTCGCCTCATTATGATCCTCTATCTGCATTAAATTGTTATGCTGGTTACAATGTGGCATGCGCGGAGGTGAAAAAAACTCGGTGAAAAAAAAATGGTAACAGTAACAACAACGGGATAGAACCGGTCCCGTGTGTGTATCGATGGAGTAACAGGCGTTCGGGTGCCACCCATATCTCACCCTTTCGCTTCACCCCTCGGGGACAAAGCATTTGCCCCCCCCCCTCCCCGCTCTCTTCCCCCTACCCTAACCCTGCGATTTGTAGGATCGTGGCTGTCTAATTGCGATATCGCATTTTTTGCGCTTGAGTTTGGGAAATAATATTTTTTACCACTGCAACCCCCGGTTTTTGCAGGCGATTTTTTTCCCCTCACCCGTTATTTCTACCACCGCTCGGGTAATTATGTGGGCGCGGCGGGCCAAACAAGAGGGGGTTAAACTCCAGTGCGAAAGACAAGAGGAGAAAGGTTGCGTATAAAAACGAGGAGAGGTAAAAAAAACGGTTTGGGATATTTAAATCCCGTGAGTCTGTGAAAGGGTATATAACTGGTTGAAGAAAGCTATGAGAGGTGGAGGGGCGAGGGGGGATGGGGCCACCCTCGGCGCGGAAATCGGCGTGAGGGCGCGTGCGCTCGACAATGCCCGTGTTTGCACACCCGAAAATTGGCCTGGGTCCCAAAAAAAATCTTGAAAAAACATAACGGCAAAAAATGAAACAAAGGGAAGCACCGGGGAGCCGGGGGAGTGAGAGAGGCCTCTTAATCCGACAACACCGCGCTAATCGCATCGATCTAAGAGTCCTCGATGCCTTTGAGTTTGTTTCTTGGATATATTTTTTTTGTAAGGGCTCTTTCCGGAACGATAAATCGGGGATAAGGAGGCATAACACTGCATGTGAGGCACATGTGGATTGATGTGTACTTTGGTTTTGATGTTTAGTTTTGGTTTAGGTGGAATTTGTCGTTGTGTCGTGGGAGTTGGTTTTTGTGGATGACGTGTGTGGCCAGGTGCGATGGTAACTCATCAGGTGGAAGGCGTCTCGGTGCCGTTGGATGACAGCTCGTGGGCTCTAATCAATGGTTGTGTTGATTGTTCGGTTATTGGGAGCACGGAATAATGAATTATCGGGGATTATTGAAGGCGAGGAAATGTTGGAAAACATCTGCAGTTGATGTAACATGAAGTAATTTCTAATCGTTTTTTATGTTTGCTTTTTAGTCATTTCTGATAATTTTGTTTGTCGTTTAGAGTGAAGAAGAGGGGAATGAAATGGATCGAAAGAGTAATTTGAAGGTTTGAATAATCATTGAATGCAATCGATTTGGGATGGGAATGTTAATTTGACGATTAAACAGTATTGGTTTCGAAATATCCCTTTACGTTGCTCTGTGTCAATTGTTGGTTTATTAAAAATGGGGCTGACTAAATAGAT